TATATATATATATATATATATATGCATATATATATCGGGAGATACACCTATGCATAGGTACTGTATGAATGCATATAGATCGCTCACGTATGTGTCGTTACGGATGTGGAATCACTTATGTACTCTGTATGAATTAGATACCGAGAATGCTGGGAGCAGGGTACCCGTAAACATGAAATGCTGCTTTAAATAAGCTATAGTAAGAGGAGTAATGCTCCCAATAGATGAACCTTGACAGCATCTGCAGGCGAAGGGCCACTGCTTTACCTCCAAAGTTTACCTTTTCTTAGATTTGCAAGTTGGTCTCTGCCTTAGCCCCAACTAGAAAATGCTTTCACTGAGGAACTCTCAGTATGTGCAAGCGCATAGCAGTGTACATATTGTATTTAAATCTGCGTGTATTGCGCGAAAAGTTGGCAGCCCACCACAAGCCAAAATTTGACTTGCAAAAGTCGTTAGGAAGCCAACATCAAGGGTTTTTCGTGGCACGAGTAGTGCGGTGTCCGTCCACTACGCTCATTCTTCGCTGTCTCTTAACCTCTGAGGCGGCTATCTGTCGGCCGCTACTTGTTCATTCTCTTTCTCTGCCCAAGCAGTACTTGGGCTGTTCAAGGCTCGCTGCTGGAGGACTGCAGCAGCCGCTGCCGCCGCAGCAGCAACAGCAGAGACAGCAGTAGCAGCGCGAGGTGTGGTGTTACCCCAGGAGCTCCCAGCACTGCCCCTCGTGGAGTTGAGTCTTTGCGACTCCCTGCCAACTGTGAAGTTTCTGACGGGTCGAAACCCACCTAAAGGCCCGGAGGTTGGAATGGCAACTGCCAGCAGGAGTTGGTCTGAAGAAGTTGCGCGGCCACCCCAAGGCAAATTACCAATTCCTCTGGAGGAAGAAATGTTGCTTCCTAAAGGCACTGATGCTGTCCCCCAGTGAGGAGTCCCGTGGCCTTCCAGACTGTCCTCGTGAGGCCACACCGCCGGCCGCTGCGGAGACGAGTAGGGGGATATCAGCGGGCGTCGAACTCGCGACCGGGATCCCGATACCGATCCCGATCCCTGCTCTGCTGTCGGCTCGGAGTTCGGTATAAATTCGGAGTTTGGCGCGGAGTTTGGGTCTGAAGAAACTTCATCAGACTCAGCTGCCGTCTCAGTGACTGTTGCACCAGGGCTGTTGCTGCTGCTGGTATTTGTGCTGCTTCTGCTTGTTTTAGGCTCTGCTGCTAACGCAACAGCACCACCAGCACCACCAGCAACACGAGCTTGGGCTGTGGATGCAGCTGTTGGGGCTCTGCTACTCCAGCGGGGCCTGGCCGGTGGGGAGGGGGTCTCACGTTTAGTTACGGCGGCTGCTGTTGCGGTTATTGTTGCTGCTGCTTCTGCTGTAGCTGTTGCGGTTTGCGTCGTTGCTGCTGTTGTTGCTGCTGTTGTTGTTCCTGCTGCAGCTGATGTTTTTGTTGGTGTTGTCGTTGTTGTTGCTGTTGGTGGTGGTGGTGGTGTTGTTGTTGCGGTTGTTGTTGCTGTCGTTGTTGTTGTTGCTGTTGTTCTTGTTGTTGGTATCGTTGTTGTTGTTGTTTTTGTTGTTGTTGCTGTTGGTGTTGGTGGTGCTGTTGTTGTTTGTGTTGGTGGTGGTGGTAGTGGAGATGGTGGTGGTGCTGCGGTTGTTGTTGTTGGGATTGCTGCTGCTGTTGGTGTGGCTGTTGTTGTTGTTGGGGCAAATGAGGTTAGTGGCGGTGGAGCCGTCGTGTTATCTGAAGGAGTGTGCGTTGGTGTACTTGTAGTGGTTTGTGTGTTTGCACGGAGCTGGCTGTTTCTGCTGCTGTTTCCTATTGAAGGTTTTCTTTCAGATGCCTGAAATTGAAGGGCTTGAATAGCACCGACGCCTCTGTTGCCGCTCCTGATGCTGCTGCTGTTGAAATGCGGAATTATGCCTTTATCATAGCTGCTGGAGAAGGCCTCTGAGGCGAACAGGAAAAAAATTAAAACCACTGGAGACAGGAACCTCTTTAAAGGAAATGGCCGGAGAATGAAATCCACGCAAGGCGTGACGGACAGCAAACGACAAGACATTGCAGCACCCTCTTCTTTTCTTGACCGAGACAAACAAATTCAATAATGACATCAATCAACAAAATGCCTCCTTCAGCGAAGCTCCAGCTACGTGCTGTCCTAATAGACACCCGGCGGACACCCGGCGGCCGCAAACAGAAGAGCAGCACAAATGCGGCCGGTTGCACCTAGCCTCCCCGCTCCTTTTTGGTTCTGCACAAAGACAAAGACAAACAAATGAGACACAAGACATCCTCCTGGAGGAGAACAAACAGCAAGAGCATTTCCTTCAGGGTTATCGTATGGAAACGCATTGTGTACTCGTCAGAGTTCTGCTGTTGTGCCCCTCAATATCCCACTTAGTTCGTCACTTGCAGAGAAAATTCGGCAAATAAGGCATTCTCATGCTAAGGAGTATTAAATTCATCTCGTTAAGGGGTTATGCAGATTGCACATGAAATAGCGGCGGCTCCGAGCGACGTGAGCGCCTCCCTGTAGTGAAATGATAAAACCGCCTCTAGAAGACATTTACAGTTGAGGTTTGCTTCACTTTCTTTCCGTGAGATAATCAGGAAGGCCTACGCGCGCTGTACGCCTGGGGTTTCGGGCTTTGCGGTCCGGCGAGAGAGGAATGCGCAAGGCAACCGGTCTTAAACTCAATTGAACGAACCAAAAAATACTTCCTGCATCTCAAAATCCATTATAGAAAACATTCACAAGAGAATGTGGGGCTTTAATAACCTTTTAGGCGGCCATTTCAACTACCACTTGTGGGGCCCAACGCCACTCCATCACTTAACACACACCACAATGACTGGGCACTGCTCACGTGGGCTCGCTCGCGCTCAGCACTACAGGAATCGGCAATTAATGAAACCGCTCTTTAAAACATTGCATTTAATGTAGTGCAACGCAGTCAATCAGTCACAATTTCATTTTAAACTAGAGGAAATACGCCGACGCTTCATTGCAACCGGGGCGTACGTTCACCGCACGCGAGAGCAACAATGAAGCAACATCGAAGTCGAAATATTATTGTTGCCTGAGTCAAATCTACCAAAACATTGTATTTGATTTCTATATTTTGATGAATTGACACCAATATAACAGGACACATAACGAGCGCCGAACGCATCTTCTTCCTTGAAGTGGTTAGGGGGAGGGGGGGGACAGAGTCCACTGAAATGAGTTTCATTGAAAAGTTCAAAATTTCCCCAAAATCGCAACAATCTCCAGGAAAAATAGAAAATGCAATTGGTTTCTTTGCTTTCTGGGCTCAGTATACAACGACGAACCCAGCTACAAGCTGCAGCTGATGTACCGGTGTTCGCGGGGAAGGGGAGATACCCGCAAGATTTCTCGGCGTATTGGACCAGAAGTACCTTGATACTGGTTTTTATTTGTATTTTCTGATTTACAAATAAAAACGCAACATAGCTGAAGGGAGCTTTGCTATGCTACCGCCTCTCTTTTCTTCTGCCTGGCAGCGTACCAGTGGTTCCGCCTTGTGCGGGCTTGCAGTGGGCGTGAAGTCAGAGTTGCTAAACACTTGTCATTCTTGTCTTCGACTACACGCTTATCATTCTCCATACTGCTTGCCTGCCCGAGTTGCTGGGCGGTCCTTCCAATCGGCCGCTTTTCACGCTGTACAGACCCTCCTTTGCAGAAGCCTTCATTGCCTACCTCTCGGATTTAGACAGCAGCTGCTCTTTAAAGCGGGTGCTGTACCTGCAACAATTCTAGCAACTATTAGATCCGGTGAAGCAGCAGCAAGATAGACGTTTGCACTCACCACGCCAGTGAGTCCTGTTTACATACTGTAGTCGGTGATAAACAACTTGCTACGCAGAAGGGCTTTAGGGTTTGAGGTTTTTTAAGACTTTGCAACTCCGAAGCAAAAGGGATATGGGGTTTAGAGATGGGGGCTTCATAGCACTAGCCGTTTAGGTGGCTCAGCCTTTCCGGGGCGAACGGAAGAGAACGACCCGAGCATTACAATAAGGGCAAATAAGCGAAAAATGTGAATTACAAACCAGAAAAGTAGAACACAACTAAAAGCCTCTTGCT